AAAATGATAATAAAATCGTTAATGTGCCTGTTTACTCCGGATTTGAAATGGTTTATATTCATAGACGAAGAGCTACGTAAAAAACAGATTGTCATTGTGTCATTTGTTAATTTCTTCTTACTGTGTGTATTTATAAAGACTTTCACTTCTAAACCCTAATCTACGTTAGGCTATAAAATAAAATCGAAAGTTTGTATCCACAGATCATGTCCTATAATATCTTTGTCTTCTTCCTAATTTGTTATTACGAATATTCCATAAAATAAAAATTTTGCATTAATATTCCTTCAAATTCTACTAAATAAATGTTTTATTGCCTAAAATCAAATGAAAATTGAAATTCTATGTGAAAAATAAGATAAGAGAAATATTCTTATACGTAATTATTAAAAATTGTATTTGTAATTGTAGTCATTATATACCATTTAATTAAAGATTATAATGAGTTTTGGGTCTGTTATTGGCCAGATGAATAAGTCCATTGAACATGCTAACTAATTGATCACAAATTAACGCTTTACTTCAGTGCTTCACGTGGTTCTTAACGGAATGGCCACGTGGAATCCTCTGAAATATCTTCACTTGTGTAACATTAACAGAAAACTATTTTGCAACAGAAAGTGATTCGAGAACAACGCCGTTGATAGATCGCTCAGGCATTTTGTTGACGTATTCCTTCAAATCAAACTAATGTTTAATATAAAGTGTCAATTATAGAATCTCGTCTGATTGGAATTTTACGAAAATTAATTTGAAGAGGTAGTCTGTCCGAAAAAATACAGTACGAACGTTAGCTTGATATGAACAGTCAACACCTAATGTTACAAAATATAATCCATAATGTAAAATTCTTTTTAGAGTATTATTATTGCAATTTCATGTTTACTAATTTAAGCTGTCAGCAAGAGAAACATTAGTAGAAGGAACAAGACATGTCTTATCCTTTCGCATAACACTACTCAACTGAATCATCGAAGAGAAAACAGAATACAGAGAACTCACAACCTGAATAAATAATTTACATAATTTAAAAAATTAATTTAATATATCTGAAAATATTATTCTGTTTTCTGCATTACCTTAATTATAAAATTCTTCTT